ACTTATTAAATTGGAACTTTAAGGATAGTTTTGCCTTGGACTCTGATTTAATTCTGCATGATACTTGGAACGCTGACACTTACCTCTTGCCGCGCTGCTGGTATTGGGATGCCCTGCCTCCCACTGGCCAGCTGATCTTTGGGTCTCTGCTATGCATGCATGCATGTCCATGCATGCGCGCGCACATGTCCAGGCATGTCTGTGCATGCGAGTGCATGCGCACCTTTGCACATGCACATCTTTCAGTTTGGGCATGCATGCGCAGTTTGGGCGCTTGGTGCCTCAAAGGTTCGTCATCCCTGCTCTAGCCGCGGAACATTCCCGTACCTTTTCGGTGCAGAGCGTTTGGGTCTGATTCGTCGATGTCCACTGAGCCAGCCAAAAGTCAATCGCCACAATGACCGAGTGTTTCAAGAGTTTGGAGAAGATCATCAAGGAGAGCAGAAGAAAGCCACCCGAAGTGAGATAGAGCCAACAAGTCTTCCAGGGCATCTTTGTCCTGAGTGGCGCTGCCGCGGACATGTTGTCATCTTCTTCCTCTTCCTCCTCTTCCTCTGAAAAGGTACAGAGATCACTGAGTCAGTCAACCTGGATAATTTAGTATCTCTCACAAGATCAGCAGAGACCTCGGGAGATTCTGGGTAGTGACGGAGATGCAAATAGGGCCTCAGGCAGTGGTGAGATTCAGCCGGTTCAGGCCGGTTGGGTACACGTTAAATTGCTGGCTGGCCCCACCCCTTCCTGCCCTGCCCCTTCCAGGAGTCCCCACATGCCCGGTTTTGGGTCCTGAGTGAGTGCAGGGAGGGCTACTAGCTACCAAAACAGGGTGTGAGCGGAACATCCCTCCACGCCCCGTTTTTGCTCCCAGGGGGCGTGCAGGAGGCCGAGTGCTACCTGTCACACCCCTGGCCACGCCCACCAGGGCTACGCCCACCCAGCCGGTCATTAGAGCAGAGAACCAGTTGTTAAATTATGTGAATCCTTCCACTGGTCTCATGTCCCAACACTGCACCATCAGGTTCTAGTAACAAAGCAGTAATAGTCACAGACAAGATGTTTGAGCTTTAAGGAGAGTATCAGGTACCAGCCATGTTTTGCCAGATGCCAGTCTGCCATGTGTAATACAAGGGGAAGGAGGGAGCTGAGGGGAGGCAAGGGTTTGTGACAAGGGCAGTTGGAACTACGCATCGCGCCGTCCCAGGAGAGCTGCCAGCTGGTCCAAGATCACATCATAGAATGCAACACCTTCCAGCCCACCAAGCCAGGGACAATTTGTCTGAATGTAATTGGACAAGGGGAGATATCCAGTTGGCAAATTAGATCACCAACATCCTAAGCCTTAAGGACAGAGGGGACCTACATCCAGGGATGTGCAGTGAGGGGAGGCAGAGCCTCACCACTGTCATCATTAAAAGAAAAAAAAATGTAAGAGGAAAAAGGCAAGAGCTGAAGGCTGAGCTAGTTGCTGCCAGAGTCCCCGTGGATGCCTCTGCTTAACTGTTTTAAAAAGCCTCTAAAAAAGCGCCCTCTACAGGAGGAGGCAAAAGAATGACGTGCCTCATCTAGTCTGACTTTAGGCGTTTTATGATCACTCGAGTTAAGCAAGAGTTAAAAGCCTAAAAATTCCTGACGTAGATGAGGCACGTCAT